TGGGCCATGTGCATGCAGCAAGTACTCTATCAACCGAACATCCCTAGTCCCCAGTTTGTTTTGCTTTTAAGACACAGAGTATGGCTGGAGAGATGGCTCAGCGGTTAAGAGCACTGACTGTTCTTCCAGAGGTCCTAAGTTCAATTCCCGGCAACCACATGGTGGCTCACAACCACCTTGAATGAGATCTGGTGCCCTCCGCTTGCATGAAGACAGAAGACTGTATACACAATAAATTAAGACACACAGTAACCCAGACTACCTTCAGACTGCACCGCCTTGAATTCTGAACCTTACCTCTACCTTCCAAGCTCAGGCATTACTGGACCTACACTATCATGCATGACTGAGAGACAGGGATTTGCCAAAGGTTTTTCATTCTCACCCAAGGGTAAAACTGTTACTAGGTATCCTAATTAAAGTTACTATGGGGTTAGGGAAATAGCTCAGCAGTTAGAAGCACCGTTTTTTTTTTTTTTTTTTTTTCCAGACAGGGTTTCTCTGTATTGTTTTGGATCCTGTCCTGGAACTTGCTCTGTAGACCAGGCTGGCCTCGAACTCACAGAGATTCGCCTGCCTCTCCCTCTGCCTCCGGAGTGCTGGGATTAAAGGAGTGAGCCACCAAAGCCCTGCAGGGGTGGTTTTTGCAGAGGACTTAAATTTGGTTTCTAGAATCCACATCAAAGGGCTCACAATCTCCTGTAACACCAGCTCCAGGTAAACTGATGCCTTCTTCTGGCATTTGTGGGTACCTGCATGCATGTGTACATGCACACAGACTTTTAAAATTGCCACTGGACCATGTTTAGAATACAGGGGTCATTTTTCTCCTGAGTGCTGGGATTAAAGGCTTGCAATGCACTAACGCACCCAGACACCCTGCTTTTTGAGATGGTCTCACTGAATCCTAGAGCCTTCCTCAGGGATTGTGTGTACCCTCAAGAGCTGGAATACAGACACACACCGATAGCTTTTATTTCAAGGAAGGGCTTCTCTGCATCCATCGCTCTGGCTCTGGATCCACCAGCCTCTGCTAGGATTAAAGCCATGCACCACTATGATCAGCTCATATCTAGCTTTTATTTTACTTTATATACATTGGTGTTTGCCAGCATGGATGTCTGTATGAGGGCATCAGGTCAGTTTTAAGGTGCCTTTTTGAGTGCTGGGAATTGAACCTGGATCCTCTGAGAAGAAAAGCAGTGCTCTTGAACACTGAGCCATCTTTCCAGCCCACAGAAAGCTTTTTAAATGAGTGCTAGAGATGAAACATGCTTGCAAAGCAAGGACTCTCCTGTCCCTTCTTTACTGACCCAGATTATGTGGAAAAGCTGATTTATCAGCTGCCTAGCTGGAAAATTTATACTAATTGAAATACTGGTCTCTCTTCTTTCAGACAAGTGGTATTTTCTTTTCTCCAAGGTCTTTTCCAGATCGCCATTTCTAGCCATCTCTGGCCATAGGCACTCCATCCTCACGACAGGCATGGCTATCTACCTAGTAAGAGTCATCAACTTCACTGCCTTCCAGATGTCATCACCAGTTTTCATTAATGTTTCCTGTGCACTCACCAGTCAACACGAGGCTGTGCTAGTCAGAGCAAAAGATGTATCTAGTTCAGGTGAGCACTGGGAACTATTTTAATCTACGTGGGAAGGAATGTATTAGTCACAATGAACCACTTTCTTTTTGTTTCACTAAGCTTGGCCACTTGGCTCTTTGTAGACCAGGCTGCTCTGGAACTTACTAATCCTCCTGCCTCTGGCTCCCTAGTCTACACCCAGTCATCTTTTTTCAGTACAGGTATACCAGGCTGGCCTACTCCCTATGCAAGTAGGTAGGATGACCTTAAGCTTCTGCTCTCCCCACCTGACATACCACCATACCTTCCCAGCACTTGGGAAGGAAAGCCTGGTCTATAGAATTCTGGAACAGTTAGGGATAAAGAAACCATCTTAGAGGGGGGAAAAATCCCTGCAGAAATCAATTTTAGGTCACATAGGCATAGGAAAATGCTACAATATTCTGCCCAAATTTTACTTAGACCCTGACCTGAAAAGCATGTATATAAATAGCAGTGTATGACCAGAGATAACTGTAGTGGTTTTTTTTGTTCTGTGAGAGGGTATATACACTGAATATAAGAGCATGAACTGAACTGAAGCAATCACTCTTCAGCGCCACTCCACAGGATCTGTATTAGTCTGTTCCCGTTGGCCTGGATGAATAGGCTAGGATGGCTGGCCGGCAGCTTGCCTCTGCTTCACCAGCAGGATCACAAGCAGGTGTGCAACTGTTATGTAACAGGAACCACAGGTGCACACAAAACTCAGGCCTTAGCTGGGTGGGAGCAGCACAGCCTTGAAGCAGAGAAACCCTGTTCCCCATGCTTGCCATACACTTTACAGTCAGCTAAAACCCCACTTCACAGCACCTTCAACAAATCAGGAGAGAAATACCATGCATGAGTAAGATAAGAGGGTGCTGTGGACCTCTGAAATAATCAACTGTACTTAAAAACAAGGGGGGGGCAACAAGCACACTAGCACATTCTTTTAATCCCAGTACTCAGGAGGAACAGGCAAGCAGCCGAGTTCAAGGCCAGGATAGCCAGGGATATTACACAAACCCTGTCTTCAAAAACCTAAGAAAAAGAAAAACTTCCCTAAGTTGTGTCATTCAGGTAGTGCATGGATTCAATGCCTAGCACCCTAAAGAAAGGACATAATGGCCTATGCCTATCATCACAACACTGGAGGTAGAGGCAAAGGTCTAGATGTCCAAGTTGTTCCTCACATTATGGCAATCTAGGACTTAAGTGTCAGGGCAAACAGCAAACTCAGTTTTGTTATGGCATGCTGACTGAAGGTAGAGATCAAAACTCCATCAGCAGACTGGCAAGATGATAGAAAGTCCTCGGATATACATGCATGTGCCAGTACAGACTGGTTTTACAGAGCACTAGGAGATTTGAGTGTTACCACTGTAAACAGACTGTCTTCTAACTTGATCTTCCCAGATGGGGAGTATCAGTAGTACTACTTCGACTCTGGTTTTTTGAGACAGGGTATGTAGCCTTGAACTAGTCAGAGACCCAGCTGCCTCTGCGGCAGAATTAAAGCCACCATCTACTCTGAGGTTATTAATGTAACTGTCTCGTCCCACTACGGCAATGCAGATCACTGTGAAGAGTCAGGTGTCTTCAAGACTCTTGTTGGTTCTTACCAGATCCTCCTGTTTACCCTCTTTGCTGTGCTGGCATCGACTGCTTTCATCTTCCTAGGTAAGTTCACACGGTAGGATTCGTGACATAGTTGACAATGAATGAGCCTAGTAGATTAAAGGTCAAGCTTTCTGAGGATGGTGGCCCACACTAGTTCAGCCAGAGAAACAGTCTCAAAAAAAAAAAATCAAACCAAAAAAGACATCACTATTGCCTACACATGCAAAGATGTATTTTTGTCTCTACTAGTCTCCTTCAGTAACTGGAAGCAGGCTGGGGGAGGACTCAAAGCTTCAAGCACCCAACCACTAACACTTAATCTACACATCTGCTCATATAGCTTAAATCATCTCTAAGCTACTTATAACATCTACAGCATATGCTACAAATATGCTACAGTTGTACTGTACTGGCTAGAGAATTACAAGTATTAGTACACAGGGCAGTGCTTTCTGAAGGCAGACTAACTGGAAAATAACTTTTTTACTAATAACGTTTATCATTTTATTTCTTACAATTATCTGCTTGAGTTAGGAAGGCCTTCCTGCAATCAAAATCACATAAGCCGGCCGGGCGGTGGTGGCGCACGCCTTTAATCCCAGCACTCGGGAGGCAGAGGCAGGCAGATCTGAGTTCAAGGCCTGGCTGGACCGACAGCCTCCAAAACAATACAGAGAAACCCTGTCTCATTAAAAAAAAAAAAATCACATGAACCATTTTGTGGTGTTTCCTTTATCCAGCGTACAATGGCTTCCTCAACAAGATACAGACTGTTCCAGTTGTTTATGTGCCAACTATAGGAACACCTCAGTCAGGTAAAGAACCACTGCCCTGGTCTTTCCCAAGTTCAGGTGTGAACTTATATTTTCACTTCATTATCACCCTTTTCTTCCAGGTTCTTACACAGCATGTTCTCCCCCTCACTTCCTGAGCCCACAGCCACCTCTAGTACAGAGTCGGCTGCAACACTGGTTATGGAGTATAAAGCACTAATCCAAATGAGCACATCCCCTTCTACTGTAGAAGAATGGAGGAGACCTAATCCTGACAAGCCTAGTAGCAAACTCTATACTAAAATCCAAAACAAGTTTTCTATTAACCGTAAATAAAGAATCTTGAGTGGTTTAATTCCAAGTCATGTGTTGTTAAGTTTCTGGGGCCTCACCAAGCCCTGGGTTTCTGTTCCTAGCACCACACAAATTGATATGGCAGTGCATACCTACAACGCCATCATCAGTTGGGAGGTATCCCTTGCTACAGACTTGAAGCTATGTTAAGACCGTCTAAAGCCGGGCGTTGGTGGTGCTCGCCTTTAAACCCAGCACTCGGGAGGCAGAGGCAGGCAGATGGATCTCTGTGAGTTCGAGGCCAGCCTTGTCTACAGAGCGAGTTCCAGGACAGTCTCGAAAAACAAAACAAAGACCCTGTCTAAATTAAACACACACACAAGAACAGCAATCCTGGCTGCTCTGAACTTGCCTGCCTCTGCTTCAAGTAGAGTGTGGCACCAACCCCTTAATGGTAACTGTCACACACCTTTGTATAGCACAGTGCTTCCCTAAAACAGTGGATACCAAAAAGACATCAGGAGAACACGAAGCCCAATTAATTATACAGTATCGCCAGCTTTAAACTATGGCCTAAGATTCACCAGATGAACCCAGATGCCTGAAGTGAACTCTTGACCACTTACTTGACCCAAAAGGACCACTCTTCTGGCTGCCCTTTGAATACATGAGGCACAGCTTACTACCAGTTACACAAGACAGACACTATATATCCAAAATGTGTTTATTGGGATGGTTCCCACGCATCTTGAATCAGGTGCTTCTCAGTGCTGCTTCCTCCTGAAGGAGCATCCTGAAAGAAAAAATCCAAAGTGTCACCTCAGCCTGCACAGCCTGTGACTGCCCTGCTTCATCTGCAGAATGCTACATGTCTCAGTCCCATTATCTACATCTTTCTGCAGCTCCTATCATCTGGGACCAAATGAAACCCTTTTAACAAAGCCAGTCCACCCCAGCAACACAGCTGTTAGTAACACCCACTTTTAAGAAGAAAGGCAGCTTGCTATACTAGCCTGGAGGTTTGCACGCTACACAACCTGTCAGGACCCAACACTAAGACCACTTACCTTCTGTCAGCCTTGCTTTTCCGCCCGTAGGCTGACAGAGGACAGTGGAGCAGCCAACACACAAGACTACCGTTTGTGCATGGCTGAAGACCGTGGTGATTTTATAGCATCCTGAAAAGGGGAGAAATCAGCAACAAAAAATGTTAACTTCTTTCACTTTTCTCCAAGTTACCATCCCTCTACTGCTTCCTAGCAAAAACAGCGTCTGCCACTAATCCAAGCACTTCTCCTCTGACGCGGATCTCAGGAAACCCCCGACTGCTGCTGACCAGGGCTTGCCCCACTGCGGCCAACCACTCCCGCACCTGGGCACTTGACATCCATAAAGTACGAGTTGGGGCTCTGCACCAGGCGCTTTTTCTTGTGTTTCCTCTTCTCCTCCTCTGGAGAGGGATGAAGGAGATCCTTTGCGAGCTGTGAGGGGCAGAAATGCAGAGATTTAGAGGGAGACGGTCAAAGAGACCTTGGCAGGCAGTCCCCGCTGTCACACGCCGACGAGAGCTCGCCCCTCGCCGCCCCTGGCGTCGGCGTAGCTGGGCCGCCATCTTATCTCCTCTCCGCTCCCGTCTACGCGGGTGGCGCGTGGGCCGCCGCGGCTCGGGAATCCCTGCCCTAAGGCACGCGGAGCGCAAATGCGGACCCTCTACGACCTGCAATTAGCGCGAGAGGAAAGCGCAGACACAAGAGCGAGCGCTCTGCCGAAACCTGGACCAAGGAACTCACAGGCATGTTCTCGTAAGGAGGTCGTCACCGCCGGAAAGGAGCGAAAGCGGAAATCCTGTTCCTTATATCCGGTAAGGCACAGGAAGTGACGAGCCCTTGTTGTTCTGCCATCTTGGGAAGGTCGGGCTTACCGTTCAAATGCAAGGGTTGAGCCGTCGGCTGCCATTTTCAGAAGGTCTGCAAAGGCCCCTCGTGTCGCTGGTGCTTAACCATGCTTCTATTTTGAGATCATGGTTTTGAGGCTGTCAAAAGAAAAATGAAGCCGGGCGGATCTCAGTGAGTTCGAGACCAGCCTAGTCTACAAGAGCTAGTTCCAGGACAGTCTCCAAAGCCACAGAGAAACCCTGTCTCGAAAAACCAAAAAAAAAAAAAAAAAAAAAAAAAGAACAACTTAAGATTTTCCTACTACGCTTTGACAGCTGGAGTTTGATGGGAACAACAGAGATGAACAGCAGCGGGGAGCTTTATCCAGGACTTTTCGTGTACTGATAGTCTTTGCCGTTTTGCAGTTGGCTTAATTTACCTACCCTGATTAACAAACAATTCTAGATGCAATACATTTAAATAAAATATCCGCTTGGAGTTGGGGGTGTACTGAGTTAATACACTGCTTTCGTAGGGTGCACAAAGCCCTGGATTTAATCCCCAGCATTTTGTAAACCGTCCAGTGGAGGGCAGGGCAGGGCACAGTGATTGTGTCAGTGGCTCAAGGCTGTAATCCCAGCACTTCGAAGACCGGGAGATAATTCAGAATCATCCTGGGCTCCATAGCAAAATTGAGCTCTAGTGTGGACTACAGGAGACCTGTCTGGGAAAAAAAAGTCCTGTTCATATTTGCTCCATTGTAACCAACCCTATTGTTTACCATTTGTTGTTGCAGTTTTCCAGTGCTAAGGAAGAATTTTGTATTCTTCCAATCCTTAACCTTTGAAGAATAATAAAAATCAAATATCTATAAATATCTATGTAGCTCTTGATGCTAATTAAAGGCCACACAAGGTCAGTCATGCCTTTTATCTCTGCATGCTGGCAGAGACTAGAGGGACCTGTGAGCTCTAGCCAGCCTGACCTAGGGAGTTCCAGCACAGCCAGAACTAGCTACTTTGTCTCTAAAAACCAAACAAAAATAAAACAAATATGCTACTTTACTATGAAGCTACTGTTACTATTATCACATTGTACAGATCGGTGTGTTGCTGCTCAGAGAAGTTAAATTGTCCAACCCAGACATGATGGCACCCAGCACTGAGGAGGCAGAGGTAGATTGTGAATTCCAGCATCTCAGCCAAGCTGAGGTGACTCACGAATTTATCCCAATACTTAGGAGACAAAGGCAAACAATCTCTAAATTTGAAGCCAGCCTGTTCTACAGAGAGAATTACAGGACAGCCAGAGCTACACAAAGAAACCTGTCCTAAGAAAACAAATGAAGCCGGGCGGTGGTGGCGCTAGCCTTTGATCCCAGCACTGGGGAGGCAGAGGCAGGTAGTTCTCTGTGAGTTTGAGGCTAGTCTGGTCTACAGAGGGAGAAACCCTGTCTCAAGAAAAAAAGAGAGAGAGAGAGAGAGAGAGAGAGAGAGAGAGAGAGAGAGAGAGAGAGAGAGAGAGAGAGAGAGAGAGAGAGAGAGAGAGAAGAAGAAAAGAAAAAAGAAAAAAGGGGCTGGAGAGATGGCTCAGAGGTTAAGAGCACTTACTGCTCTTCCAGAGGTCCTGAGTTCAATTCCCAGCAACCACATGGTGGCTCACAACCATCTACAGTTCAATCTGGTGCCCTCTTCTGGTGTGTAGACAGAACACTGTATATGCAATAAATATAAATAAATCTTAAAAAAAAGAAAAGAAAAAAGAAAAAAAAAGACAGTGTCTCTCGTCCCAGGCTGACCTCCACCTCGAAAGTGCTTGGGTTGCAGGCATGTCATATCTAGTGTGTGCTGTGGGAGGGTACAGTGTTAGTAATCTAATCCACGGCCTTATCGTTGGTAGAAAACAATCTAAGCCATTGGTTCTCAACCTTCCTAATGCTTCAACCCTTTAATACAATTCCTCATGACCCCCAACCATAGTTATTTTGTTGCTACTTCATAACTGTCATTTTGCTACTGTCAGTTTGCTATTGTAATATAAATATCTGTGTTTTCCAATGGTCTCGGGAAACCTCTGTGAAAGGGTTATTCCACTCCCAGTGGGGTTGTAACTCACAGTTTGAGAACGTCTGTTCTACACTGAGCTATATCCCCAGTCCTTAGTCTTCTGTTTTGCATTCACAATATTTTCCCTCATCCAAGAATTCGTCTCTACTAGATGTTTGCACATTGTCTTTCAAATTTCAGCCTCAATGACATTCCCTCCAAAATTACTCTGTCCTGGGAATAAGATGCTGAAACAGTTCTCACTGATTCCCAAGACTGGATTTTTGCCAAAGTCAGACGAAACTGTGCACATCACCGAAGTTAACGAGAACTACAACCAGGGCTTTCCTTTGGAGAGCACACTCCTAATGGGCGCCTCACTTCACCCTTTTCCATCAGAATTAACAGAGGTGTCTGGTCATCTTTGTTCCTCCATTACAGCAAGTAGGCTTTGTGAAGATTCTTATTCTTGTTTTTTTTTTTTTTCCAGACAGGGTTTCTCTGTGTAGCTTTGGAGGCTGTCCTGGCACTTGCTCTGTAGACCAGGCTGGCCTTGAACTCACAGAGATCCGCCTGCCTCTGCCTCCGGAGTGCTGGGATTAAAGGCGTACCCCACCTGCCCAGCACAAGCTCCTCTTTTTTAAAAATTATTTTCATATCTGTACATAATGCATTCTGGTTACACTAGACCACCTTCTCTCCACAAGCTGTCCTCACAACCAGTTCCCTTCCTATTGTCATGTCTTTGTTTTTTGAGGGGTTTAGTTTGGTTGTTTTTTTTTTTTTTTTTTTTTTTGGTTTTACGAGACAGGGTTTCTCTGTATTGTTTTGGAGGCTGTCGGTCCAGCCTGGCCTCGAACTCACAGAGATCCGCCTGCCTCTGCCTCCCGAGTGCTGGGATTAAAGGCATGCACCACCACCGCCCGGCTGGTTTGGTTTTTCAAGACAGTTTCTCTGTGCAGCTTTAGAGCCTGTCCTGGAATTCCCTCTGTAGACCAGGCTGGCTTTGAACTCAAAGAGATCTGCCTGCCTCTGCCTCCCCAGTGCTGGGATTACAAATATGCACCCCCACCCTACCCTACCCCACCCCTGTCTGGGTTTTGTTTTGTTTTGGTTTTTCGAGACAGGGTTTCTCTGTGGCTTTGGAGGCTGTCCTGGCACTCCTCTGTAGACCAGAGCTCTGGTCTCAAATTCACAGAGATCTGCCTGCCTATTCCTCCCTAGTGCTGGGATTAAAGGCGTGTGCCACCCCCACTGGTCGAGTTTTGTTTTGTGATGACAGTTTAACCAGGGTTGCCACCAGGGGCATGATTGTTCACTGGGTCAGTAACTCTCAGTGACTGCATCATTAAATACAATGACATTTTCTCTCCCTAATAGCCATCAGCTACAACATCTGTCCAGGGGCTGGCCCTCCTCTCTTGTCTTACCTGACCTCCTCCTGAATGTTTTCAGGTCCAGCCCGTTATTTATTCTTATTTACTTATTTGAGATAGACTCTCATTATGGTAGCCATGGTTGGCCTGGAACTTGTTATGTAAGCCAGGCTGGTCTTGAACCCATAGAGATCCTTCTGCTTCTTGCCTCTGGAGTCCTGGGTGTCAGGTCCAAAAGAAATTCCAATTCCCCAAACACCAAATATCCAGAAATAAGCTCAACCTGGACTCCAGAAGGATTTCTGGTGGTTAGACAAAAGCTTGCATTCTTCATGAACTTGTGAAACTGGTTCCTATCTACCGAAAGGAGTCATTTCCCTTACCTGTGGCAGAAGGGACTTAAGGCTACCGGTTGTGCCTTATGGGTTTATCATTCATACTGGCCTCACAGCTTCTTCAGTGTCACAAGTACTGTTACACATTTCAGAGTCCATGTTAGCATCCTATCCCTTCTCACTCCTCCTCTACCCTAAACTCTCCAGCTCATGGGCTCCCCTCCCTCTTACTTTTCCTTCTTCTAACCTGGCTATTCTCATGTTCTTATGCTCTGCTTCTGATTCTCTTACTATGTTTTCCTCTCTTCTCTATCTCCTGCTATTCTCCCCTTTCTTGAAGATAGCCCTGGCCATAGTCAGTCTACATCTTTCTTTGCTCTGATACCCCTGGCTGTTATCTCTCTTACAACAAAAACCTTCCCCTTAGCAGGGCACTCAGGAGACAGAGGCGGGTGTATCTCTGTGAGTTTGAGGCCAGTCTGGTCTATAGAGTGATTTCCAAAACAGCCAGAAACCCTGTCTCAAACAAACAAACAAAGCAAAGACACCCTTTCCTTAACTATGCCATGGATCGGTGAATTGTCAGTTTATACACTGTTTAAGGTATGCACTCCTTTAAGTTATACCTTTAAGGTATTCACTGCTATACTCTCCACCCCATCTCACTGTGCTAGTTTGCTTTTTGTTGCTATGATAAATATTCCAGCCAAAAGCAACTTGGTGGAGGCAGGTAGATCTCTGTGAGTTCAAGACCAGCCTGGTCTAGGTCTACAAAAGCTAGTTCCAGGACAGCCTCCAAAGCCACAGAGAAATCCTGTCTCGGAAAAACAAACAAACAAACAAAAACAATAAAAAAAAAGCAACTTGGTGAGGGAATGGATTTATTTGGCTTACAGGTTACAGTCCATTTCTGGGGAAACTACAGGCAGAAGGTTGAAGCAGAAACCAAGGAAGACTGCCTTACTCCTAGCTCACATTCAGCTCCTTTCTGACACAGCAGCCTGACCTGTCGGGGGATGGTACCTCCCACACAGAGCTGGGCTCTAGGACCTCTACTAGCAATAGGTAAAATGCCTGGGGCTGGAGAAAGAGGGATCTGAGAGCACTGACTGCTCTTTCAGAGACCCAGGGATTTGATTCCCAGCATCTACATGGCAGCAAACACCATGGAGGCTCACAGCAGTTTGTAACTCCAGTGTCAGAAGATCCAACACCACCTTCTGGACTCCAAGGGCACCAGGCATGCTATGGTGTATGCAAAAGCAAGGGTAAAATATCCACACAATTAAGATAAGTCAGTGTTGCTGGGCAGTGGTAGCACATGCCTTTAATCCCAGCACTTGAGAGACAGAGACAGGCAGAGCTCTGTGAGTTCAAGACCAGCCTGGTCTACAGAGCAAGTTCCAGTACAGGTTCCAAAACAATACAGAGAAACCCTGTCTCAAAAACAAAAATTTTTTGGCCGGGCGGTGGTGGGTGCACACCTTTAATCCCAGCACTCGGGAGGCAGAGGCAGGCGGATCTCTGTGAGTTCGAGGCCGGCCTGGACCTACAGCCTCCAAAACACTACAGAGAAACCCTGTTCTCTTAAAACCAAAAAAAAAAAAAAAAAAAAACTTTTTTAAAGATACACAAGTGTATATAAAGGTAGGGAGACCCTACCTAAAAAAGAAAATGTCCCCACAGATATGCCTACAGACCAGTCTGATGGAGGCATTTCCTCAGGTAAGGTTTCTTCATTCCAGATGTGGTAACCAAGATTAGCCATCCAAGGTAGTCCTGGCTGGCCTGGAACTCTACCAAGAATAGGCTAACCTCAGACTCTCAGTGATCATCTTGCTTCTGTCTCCTTGTTCTGGGATTGCAAGTCTATGCCACTATACTTGGACTTTAGAGTGATAAAAAGGACAGGATTGGTCAGTGAGGAAAACTAGAAAAGACTCAAGGTCTTTGCTACAGTCTGAAATGTAATGAGTTGTGAGAGAATGAGTAAAGGGAATTGAAGCCCATAGTATAGCTCAGTGGTAAATACTTTGCCTAGCATGTATGAGGCTCTGGATTTGACCAATCCCCAGCATCATACCAAAAATAAATAAATAAATAAATAAGATAGGAGGGACTCAGTGGTTAAGAGCACTGGCTGCTCTTCCAGAGGACCCTAGTTCAATTCTCAGCACCCACATGGCAGCTGACAATTATCTGTGACTCCAAGATTTTATACTCACACACTGAGGCAAAACACCAATGCACATAAAATAAAAATAAATAATTTTAGCCGGGCGTTGGTGGCACACGCCTTTAATCCCAGCACTCGGGAGGCAGAGGCAGGAGGATCTCTGTGAGTTCGAGGCCAGCCTGGTCCACAAAGTGAGTTCCAGGACAGCCTCCAAAGCTACAGAGAAACCCTGTCTCGAAAAACCAAAAATAAATAAATAAATAATTTTGAAATAAGTGGGAGTGGGGTATTGAAGTAGGCCCAGTGGTCCATGTGCAAGACTTTGGTTCTAGTTATCGAGCCTGATTCCAGACGATCACATGATCCCACAAAGTTCAGACTGGACTGGGCAACACAGAGAGACCTTGCATCAAAAAAATAAATTGGGGCTGGGCGTTGGTGGCGCATGCCTTTAATCCCAGCACTTGGGAGGCAGAGACAGGTGGATCTCTGTGAGTTCGAAGCCAGCCTGGTCTACAGAGCGAGTTCCAGGACAGCCTCCAGAGCCATGCAGAGAAACCCTGTCTCGAAAAACCAAAATAAATAAATAAATAAATAAAAATTGGGCTAGTAAAATGGCTCCGGGGTATTTGGTGAAACATCCTGCAGCATGACCTCTGACCTCTACATTTTCACCATGGCATGTGTGTGACTACACAAATATAAATATAATAAATGAATAAATTAATAAGGGCCTGGAGAGATGGTTCAGCAGTCAGTTAAGAGCACTGGCTGGTTTTCCAGAGGATCCAGGTTTAACTTCCAGCACGCACATGGCAGCTTGCAACTGTCTGTAACTCTAGTTCCAGGGGATCTGACACCTTCACACAGACATACATGCAGGCCAAGCACTAATGCACATAAGAAATAAAATAAATAAATAAATAAATAATAAAATAAAATAAATAGGTGTGTGTGCCAATATGGATTGTCAGTTTGGCAGGCTCTAGAATCACCTAGAAGTCCAGTCTCTGGACAGGTCGGGAAGGGCGTTTCTAGATTGCGTTAATTGAGGTGGGAAAACTCTATGTAACTGTAAGTGGCACCATTCAGTCTCTTGAATAAGAAGGTAAAAATGAGCTGAACACTAGCATTCATCTCCACTTTCTGATTTTGTATGTAAATGACCAGACGCCCCAGGCTCCTGCTGTGAAGATGGCCTGACTATATCTTCTGTGAGCCAGAACGAGCCCTGTCTCTCATAAACTGTTCTTGTCAAGTATTTTGTTGCAACAAAGAAAAAGGTAACTGATACATTGTGTTTGAGAACGGACAAATGTAAACATACAATATGGCAAAAATAAAGTAACAAAGACACTTTCTAACAGCCAGTACTCATTTTTTAGAAAAGTAACCCCCGAGCCGGGCGTTGGTGGCGCACGCCTTTAATCCCAGCACTCGGGAGGCAGAGGCAGGCGGATCTCTGAGAGTTTGAGGCCAGCCTGGTCTACAGAGCGAGTTCCAGGACAGCCTCCAAAGCCACAGAGAAACCCTGTCTCGAAAAACCAAAAAAAAAAAAAAAAAGTAACCCCCACACTCGTTGTTTATGGGAGTGAAAGGATGGCTCAGTGGTTAAGAGCTCACTGCACCTGCTGCGGACCCAACTTCAGGTCCCAGCACTAGTATGGCAGCTCCCATTTGACAGAGCCTAACTACAGTTTCTGGGGATTATTGCTCTCTTGTATCCTCTGCAGGCACTGTGCTCAATGTAGTAACTGCAGGCAAAACACTCACACTATATATAAATAAAGTGAATAAAGAAGGGGTGGCGCACGCCTTTAATCTCAGCACTCGGGAGGTAGAGGCAGGCAGATCTCTAGGAGTTTGAGAGTCTGAGGCCAGCCTGGTCTACAGAGTGAGTTCCAGGACAGGTTCCAAAACTACACAGAGAAACCCTGTCTTGTAAAATCAAAATGAAAGAAAAGAAAAGAAATAAAGATGGGCCAGGTAGGGGTGGTGCACACCTTTAATGCTATTTAATCCTAGCACTGGGGGAGGCAGAGGCAGGTGGATCATTGTTGAGTTCCAGGCCAGACTGGTCTACAGAGTGAGTTGCAGGCAGGATAGCCAGGGTTACACACAGAGAAACCCTGTCTCAAAAAAAAAGAAGCCGGGCGTTGGTGGCACACACCTTTAATCTCAGCACTCGGGAGGCAGAGGCAGGCAGATCTCTAGGAGTTTGAGAGTCTGAGGCCAGCCTGGTCTACAGAGTGAGTTCCAGGACAGGTTCCAAAACAACACAGAGAAACCCTTTCTCGAAAAAAACAAAAAAACAAAAACAAAAACAAAAAAAAACAAAAAAAAAAAAAGAAAGAAAGAAAGAAAAAGAAAAGAAACAAAGATGGAGAACTGGTCATAGCAGCACACACATGTAGTCTTCATAGTTGAGAGAGATTGAGGCCCGGCTGTGCTACTGAATTCCAGGCTAGTCTCCAGAATGTAAATAGGTTGTGTGTGTTTTGAGTGTAATTGGTGAGGCTTATCTTTATCATTTCAATTTTTCACTGTGCTCCACCAGGGGGCAGGTGGACTCAGCATATTAACCTCCTAACCCGCTTCTTTTCAAAGGGACTTGGGAGACACAGGCTTAGGACGCACAACGCTGACACTAATTCGCAAACTCAAAAGCCTTTGAATGGAGCCTCAGTTTTTTATCAATTTCCAGTACAACCCCCGTCTCCACCCTTGTTGACCAATTCTTTCCCTCCTCCTCTAATCTCTTTAAAATTCCTCTTTCTGCTTCGGTCTAAAGAAAGGAAAGACAGGTAGCCAAAGACAGTGGGAAGGCGTAGGGAGAGTGGCCCGCAGAGCTGGGGAAGCAGCCCCCGGACCGCCAGAGCTGGACAGGCCTTTCCACTGGCGAAGAGGGGTGGAGCCGCGAGCAGGGCCGCCTCTCTACTTTCCCCGGGCCTGGGCGGAGAGGGAGGAAAACTTCCTGGCTGGGACTCTGGCGGTTTCTGCCTGCCAGTCCTCCGAACCCGCCTACCAGTGTTGGCTCTTCCCGACCCCGCCCCCGGCGCCCCCAGTGTCCGCCATGGCCAAAGCCTACGACCACCTCTTCAAGCTGCTGCTGATCGGGGACTCGGGGGTGGGCAAGACCTGTCTGATCATTCGCTTTGCAGAGGACAACTTCAACAACACTTACATCTCCACCATCGGTGAGCCCACTGACTGTATCCGAGACCCCAGACCTACCCTCTGCCCTGCCCACTCTCATACACCCGCTCCTGAATGACTACCCTACTCTTTAATCCCCCTAGAGTAAGACACTAACTTCCAGTTTCAGACCCATCCCCCATAATGTCCCTGAATAACACTCAGACTTCAAACCTTTCTGAGGCTTCCAGGGGACTCCAGTTGCTGCCCTCCCTCGCTTTCTCGGTAGAACTCCCTAGTGTCCCCAAACCCACATAGGCTCTTGTCATCTCTTGCTTCCTTCTCCACCGCACCCACCCAAACTCTCTAGATTCATTCTTCACGATTTCTCTTTTCCCCTGCTTCCCAATTCCGCTGGCCTCTTTCTGACCCACTGAGCTTCAGACTTCCCCTGTATCCACCCCGCCTTCAGGTCGGCTTCCTAATCTTCCACCCTCAACTCGGCACCGCTCCGAGCAGCTGGGTATCTGGGGAGGAAGGTGGAAGGGAAGGGACTTTGGGGTCTCCGAGTAAGCTTCCTGACTCATCCTTGTCTCTGGGGCCCCCAAGAGGCCTGGGGGATGTGCCCAGACTTCCAGTAAAGTCCTGCCTGTTGTTTCCCCTCCCTTTCCTTCTTCATCTCCTCTTGATGGAGACTCTCAAGTCTGGTGATAAACGGGAAAGAAACCGCTTCTCTCAATGAACTGATTCCCAGGCAGTCTTATGGAGCCCTGGTTCGTCCGTCAGTACAAGCCGGGTCCACTAGTTAAAACACATGGACATGAATCACTGCCTCTCCGGTTTCTATTTATCCTGAAGGGCTAGCAGGGTTGCTGGAGGACCAGCAGTATGTGTTGCGGGAGGAGGGAAGAAGACTGGGAACTGGCATGCTTTTAATCCCCCAAGGTCATAAATTCTAAGGAAGAACAGTGTGCTTACTATAGGAATAAAGCTTTGGGAAAGTGCTCCCCGTTTACACACCCCACAAGCGCCTGCCCAGTCAAGTTCCCGGCATGGCCTCTGCTCTCTCCCGCCGTGCTTTTCACATATAGACATATACCCACCTGGCTTCGCACTTTTCACTCCAGGAATTGATTTCAAGATCCGAACTGTGGAAATTGAGGGGAAGAGGATCAAACTGCAAGTCTGGTAAGGAAGCTGCCCGACTCCAGCTCACCAGTCCCGGCTGCCGGTGTGGACCACCTCTGCACCGGTCCGGCTGCTGTGTGGACCTCCCCTGCACGCGTCCCGGCTGCCGTGTGGACCTCCCCTGCACCCCACTCCACCCTTCATTTCTTCCTTCCTTTTTCTCTTTCCAGTTTTTCTTACTAGTATTCTTTTCTGTTTGTTTGCTTTTCGAGACAGGGTTTCTCCGGTGTAGCTTTGGAGCCTGCCCTGCAACTCACTCTAGATCAGGCTGGCTTCAAACTCACAGAGATCCGCCTGCCTCTGCCTCCTGATTGCTGGGATTAAAGGCGTGCGCCACCACTGCCTGGTTTCTCTCTTCAGTTTTTTTTTTTGTTGTTTGTTTGTTTTTTGTTTTTTGAGACAAAGTGTCATGTGGCCCAGGCTGTCCTGGAACTCCCTATGTAGCTGAGAATGAACTTTATTTAACTCCTGGTCCTGCTGCTTCTACCTCCTCCGTCCGGGGATTACAGGCGTGTGCGGGCACCATGCTGGTCTTTCTTTCCCTTTTTGCTCATGCCCAGCACATCTCCTAATGTGTCTTGCCCACTCAGCTGTCTTTCCATTGCTCTCCCTGGTGCCCACTCCAGTCTGCTTGTGTCTTCTCCTCACCCGGAGCGTTCTCTGGACTTGAAAACAAATGTCTTTTGGGCTGTGATGTAGAAACAGGTTCTGAGTGCTTCAAAGACAAGTTGCAGAATTACAAGTTTGACTCCCAGTCTCTTGCTCTCTCTAAATTTTAGAGAGCAACTTTTATCCCAGCACTCGGGAAGCAGAGGCAGGTGGATCTCTGCGAGTCTGTCAGCCTGGTCTACCTGCTGAGTTCCAGAATAGTCAGGACCGTTCTCAAATAATAATAATAGTAACTTAAAATGTTTAGAGGGTGCAGGAGGTCACATACAGAGGTGTGACCTGACTGTCTTAAGGGGGTGGACACACTGCAGGTTTGAAGCACTCTGAGGCTTTAGCTAAAGCATTGTGATACGACAGACAGACAGACAGACAGCGGTAGGTGGGGTCTAAACCCTGAGACCGATACTTAAGCTCTATTTGACCTTCAACCCAGACTCCCCAATTGTTTCATTTGTAAAATGAGGACAATGAGACACCTCGCAGTGATTTAGTGAGGGTTAGATAGGATGATACACACACATAAAGTGATCTCAGCCCAGCGCTTGGTATCCATGAGTAAACAAAAGACATCCTGTCTCCCAGGCCTGCAGCCTTGAAGAGCGGCCCAAGTGTCCTTGTCCCTTTCCCCTTTGCTGTTTCCTGACTCTTCCCCTTTCGGCCCCCACCCTCTCAGTTTTGCAAAAGTCAGGTTCTTAGGAAAGGACTTTCCTGGCTTCTGTTTCACTTTATGAAAACTTGTGCTTCAGGGACACAGCTGGCCAAGAGCGATTCAAGACAATAACTACCGCCTATTACCGTGGAGCCATGGTATGAGGTGTGGGTCCTGACATGGGCTAACGTCATAGCTTCATGAGTACAGAGGCTTATGAACACGGGGTAGGGGGTAAAGAAGGAGGGTGAGGTGTGTGTTGCTGTGACCCCCATGTAGCCTGTGTTTAGACCCATGGATGGGACTTGGAGGGTCACTTAGAGGACAATAGAAACCTAATGGGAATGTGGTCCACAGTAAATTTTGTCATCCTTTAGGGCATTATCCTAGTATATGATATCACAGATGAGAAATCATTCGAGAATATTCAGAACTGGATGAAAAGCATCAAAGAGGTGAGACACCAGAATGGGTAAGATTCAACTTTAATTAATTAATTTATTTAAATTTATGTGTATGGGTGTTTTGCCTGCGTATGTATATGTGTGAACCAGGTGCCCTCAGAGACAAGAAAAGTGTGGTGGACCCTTGGGACTTTAGTGACAGATGGTTGTGAGCCACCAAGTGGTTGCTGGGAACTGAACTCAGGTCCTCTGGAAGAACACAGTCAGTGCTCTTAACTGCCGAGCCTTCTCTGCAGCCCCAGCCTCTCCTCCCCCTTCTTCTTCTTCTTCTTTTTTTTTTTTTTTTTTTGGTTTTTGGAGACAGGGTTTCTCTGTGGCTTTGGAGGCTGTCCTGGAACTCGCTGGGTAGACCAGGCTGGTCTCGAATTCACAGAGATCTGCCTGCCTCTGCCTCCCAAGTGCTGGGATTAAAGTCGTGCGCCCAGCTGTTGTGAAACTCACTGTGTATTCCAAAGTCCCTGTGGTTTTGAACTCACAGCACTCCTCCTGCCTCAGTTTTTCAAGTGCAGAAATGACGGGTGTGAGCCACACAAAGACCCAGCTTTTAGTTGTTTTACGTTTGTCTTCAGAATGCCTCTGCTGGGGTGGAGCGCCTTCTACTGGGGAACAAGTGTGACATGGAGGCCAAGAGGAAGGTGCAGAAAGAACAGGCCAACAAGGTGAGGGAGGGGGGACGGGACGGGAGGGGGGGCTGCTGGCCTGCCTCAGGGCTGGGACGGCCAGCGTGAGGAGGGATTGCTGGGCGCTTTGCTTCCGTCCTTTATCCCGGTCTCTCCCTCCCTCCTCACCCCCTACAGTTGGCTCGAGAGCACGGAATCCGATTTTTTGAGACGAGTGCCAAATCCAGTATGAATGTGGATGAGGTGAGATTCCACCCTCCAGAGATGAAAACACTAATAGATTTATCTTCCCCTCCAATCTGTTCTAACCAGTTTCCCCTTTAGGCTTTCAATGCCCTGGCCCGTGACATCTTGCTCAAGTCAGGAGGCCGGAGATCGGTGAGTTGGTTCTACTTGACCAGGTGCCACTGTGGTGTCTGGGAGAACTGCAGCGGAGTGGTGATGCGGAACCTGGATCCCAGCACTGGCAGGTGGTGGCAAGAGGATCAGGAGTTCAAGGCCCTCCTCAGCTACTCACTGTGTGTGGGAGGGTGCAAACAGACATTGTCTCCTGTCTGCCAGTTCCCAAATGACAGTTCAGAGGCTTTTATTAATTACAAAAGTTCAGCAGACAGCATGGTCTTATCATTAACTCACTCCTACATTTAAATGAACCCGTATCTACCAATCTATGGATTACCACGTGGCTTGAGGCTTTTCCTGCCCTCTAGCATCTTGCCCCCCCCCCCGCTGGTGTCTCCCTCTCATTCTGCCCTTCCTCCCCCCAGCATTTGCAGTTTGGCTTTCCCACCCAGACTTTTTTTGCCTTGCTGTAGGCCAATCAGCTTTTTTATTAGCCAATGAGAGTAATATTTATTCACAGTGCACAGAAGGATTCTCCCAACAAGGGGGGGAGGGTGAGTGGATCTTTGAGTTTGAGACCAATCTGGTCTACAGAGGGAGTTCTGGGACAGCCAAGGCTACACATAGAAACCCTGTCTCAAAAAAAAAAAAAAAAAAAGGAAAAGAAAAGAAAAAAAAAGGAAGGAAGGAAGGATAAAAAAGCCAACTGAGGAAGAGGAACTATGTCAACATTTCTCATGGGGGGGTTGTCTTGAGTTTATAGGCTCATACTCCAGCCAACCCTTAACACGCTCCATCCTTTGCCTTCCTGGCTCTAGGGAAACCACAGCAAGTCCTCCAGCACTGACCTGAAACCGTCTGACAAGAAGAACACCAACAAGTGCTCTCTGGGCTGAACATTCCTTGCCACCTCCTCACCCTGAACCTGGAGGCTAGACCTGAGGGAGTTGGGTTGAGGCTTTGCGGGGAGAAACTGGTGGGACCTAGCGGGGTAGATGAACTGCTGACAAGGAGACTGAGGAGGAAGGAAAGGAGGAAGGGAAGGAGCAGGGAAAAGGACGGGGAAGGAACAAGGATGTGAACGTTGGAAGGGTTTGAGAAGGGAAAGGAAGAAGAGTCGTATCTGATCTGGGACTGACCTTGGGTTTAAGGTCAGACATTGTGGCCTTGTGCTGATTGCTCTGTCTGGTTCAGGTTAGGGTCCTGAGAGGCTGGCTCAGCACTACTCTGAAGGTTGCTCACTACATGGTCTTTGTTAGCATTAAAGGCCACTCTTTTGCATGAATGTTCCATGTGCATTACTTTTATTACTGTCAGACTGCTCTTAACTCATCCAATTTTTGTCACCCCAAGATGCTGGTTCACCTGAATCTGAATCTGCATGTGTTCTCTGTCCTTGAACTCCATACCCCCACCCCGTAATTGGTGATTAAAAATAGCATGGAGAGGCTTGGCAGTGGTGGCCCAGCTTTAATCCCAGCAGGAGGCAGTAGGTGGAGCTCTGTGAGTTCAAGGCCAACCTGGCCAACAAAGTGAGTTCCAGGACAACCAGGCTGACACAGAGAAACCCTGTCTTGAAAACAAAACAAAGTCACCTGGCAAGCCATTTTCTTTTTCAAAAAGGGTGTGCCACAACCCAGACTGGAGGTTCACTCAGTTTTTTCTCTAATGGGAGGGGTAACCTACTCTGCCTCACCCCACTGGTGGGAGCTCTGCTTCATACTCTTTTGAGACTTTCGAGACTGGCTATCTTTAAAAGATTCCTCAAAAAGGAAATGAGAGAAAGAGGGAAGGGGTCAGCTGTTTCTGTAGATCATCAAATACTGGGAATGCAGTTTTGTTTTGTTTTGAAGACAGGGTTTCTCTGTGAAACAGTCCTAGCTACCCTGAAACTCCCTCTATAGATCAGGCTGGTCTTGAACTCACAGAGATTCGTCTGCTTCCGCCTCTGCCTCCCTAGTGCTGGGATAAAGGTGTGAGCCACCACTGCCTGGCCTCAGCAAGCTTTTTGTAAACCAAGTTTTACCAGGTGAATAAAGAGATTTGGATTCCTTTGCTATAGTAGTTTTATAAGGTAAGGGAGATTTATGAAATATTGGCCATTCATGGGCTCGCCATCTTTTGATAGACAAAAAACAACTTTTCTCACAATTTGGAGGAAGAGACACAGGAGAGATTCACTTATTTACAAGTATTTCCTGAGCATCTGCTCTATGACAGACAATAATCCCTAAACAGCTTTTTGGTGGCAGGTATAAGCAGAGGAATAGACGAAATTTGAGAAGAAAAACACTCTTTTTGGGTTTTGTTTTTAAGATTTTTTTTTGTTTTGTTTTTTGCCTATCATGGTAGTCTCTGCCTTTAATTCCAACATTCGGTAGGTAGGTGGACCTCTGTGAGTTTCAGGCCAGCCAGGCCTACAATAGTGAGTTCTGTCTAAAAAATAAATAATATTTCATTATTTTATTTTATTTATTTATTATGAACACAACATCCTGCTTCTACATATGTCTGCACATCAGGAGAAGGCACCAGATCTCATTACGGATGGTTGTGAGCCACCATGTGGTTGCTGGGAATTGAACTCAGGACCTCTGGAAGAGCAGTCAGTGCTCTTAACCACTGAGCCATCTCTCCTGCCCTCATTTTTTATTATTGTATTACATGTGTGGCTGTATGCATAAATGTGGAGGATGACTCTTGCTTGGGGTTCAGCTTGGCCCTCCCACCATAGGTCCCAAGAGCTGGACTCAGATCATCAGGCTTGCGTGGCCAAGACTGCCAACGAGCAATCTAACCTGTCATCTTTTTTATTTCATGCACCTTGGTGTCTTTCCTACTTTTCCATTGCTGTGAAGGGACACCATGACCAAGACAAGTTAGAGAGGAGTGTATGGGACTTGCTTGTAGTTACAGAGGGCTAGAGGCCATGAGCGTCACGGTGGGTAGCATAGAAGCAGGCAGGTCAGCTTTAGAGCGGTAGCTGAGAGGTTATGTGATTATCCGCAAACACCAGGCAGAGAGAGTGCTGACTGGGAATGCTGTGGGCTTTTGAAACCTCAAAGCCAACCCCAGTGACACACCTCTTCCAACAAGGCCACACCTCCTCATCCTTACCAAACAGTTCCTACAGCTGGGGTCCCAGCATCAAATACATGGGCCTGTAGGGACCATTCTCATTCAGACCACCACACCGGGTCTTACGATGTAGACTGGGCAGTCTGGTCTTGAGCTTACAGTGGTCTTCGTATCTTCCAAGTACTGTGACAAACAACACTCAACTCCTGAAAAATAGAGGAGCTAAAACTATTGACACCACAAATATATAACCACAAAAATCAGGCTAGATACACGTCCCTAGCTATATTTTACCTCCTTTCACATCCCTGCCCATTGAGACTCAGTTTCCCTACATATACCCTAGTCTGTCTCATATTCATGGGAATCCCCTACTTCAGCTATGGATCTTAAGCTGGACCACACAGCGAGATGCAGTTTGTTTTTTCAAGACAGGGTATTAGGTATGATGCCTGACACCATAGGTTCAATCTCCAGAACCTCTGAAAAATGCCAGATGTCATGTCACATCTCTAATCACAGCACTCCTAAATGAGATGAGAGGTGGAGACAGGAGAATTGCCTTCTAGAAAATTGTCCTTAGGCACACCATGACACAAAAGCACTCACATATACTTTTTTTTTTTCTTTTTCTTTTTTTTGGTTTTTATGAGACAGGGTTTCTCTGTATTGTTTTGGAGGCTACTGGTCCGGTCCAGCCCAGCCTCGAACTCACAGAGATCCACCTGACTCTGTCTCCCGAGTGCTGGGATTAAAGGCGTGCACCACCACCGCCCGGCTCACATATACTCTTATATAAACCTACACAACATAAAAGTCCATGCATATTTTGGAGACAAGGGTCTCACTTATGTATATCTGCCTGCCTCTGCCTTAAAGATATGCACCACCATGCCCAGCTCTAAAATACATTTAGAATTATATAAATAAAAAAAAACACATACAAATCTCCTTCCCTTTGGGGGGCTGGGGATCAACAATAAGGTGTAATAATATGATAGTCAAATGCTCTACAGTTCTCTGCAGCAGGGTGGGGTAGGGGAGACAGCACACATTCAGATTGTCTGCTTTTCCCTTAAGTCTCGAGAACAATTTGATTAGAATTAAAGAAGAAGAAAAATATTTCCTGGGACAAGCAAGCTGTAAGTCTCAGCAGCTTCCTGGAGAAGAAAAGGGGGGAAAAGCCACTCTGTTTAAGCCTGAGTAGACAAGCTAGGGAGAAGTAAGCCCAAAGTGTTAGGAAATCCTGTTTAGGACAGAGATAGAAGAAAAGTCATAGTTACACTCTTCTGAGTAATATAGAAAATCAGGTTGAATTCTGCAGGGTGGTGGTGGCATACGCCTTTAGTCCCAGCACTCAGGAGGCAGAGGCAGGCGGATCTCTGTGAGTTCAAGACCAGCCTGGTCAGGACAGCCTCCAAAGCCACAGAGAAAAACCAACAAACAAAGAAAGAGAGAGACTTTTTTCTGAGACAGGATTTCTCTGTGTAACAGTTCTGGCTATCTTGAAACTCATGTAGACCAAGATGTCCTTGAACTCAGAAATCAATCTGCCTCTGCTTCTCAAGGACTGGGACAAATGCATTCACCACTGCTGCCTGGCTCTAAATTTTTATTTTGTTTTATTTTTAAATTTAAATTAGAAACAAGGTTGCTTCATATGTCAATCCCAGGTCCCTCTCCCTTTCCCTCCTCTCCTCCCACGCCCTCTCATCAGCCCTCCCAATATCCTCTCAATTCCCCAGGGAGGGTAAGGCCCTCCATTGGGGTGTCTATAGTCTGTCATTTCATCCAGGGCAGGGCCTAGAACCTTCCCCACCAGTCTAGGGTGAGAGTGCATCTCTCATTGTTGGATGGGTGCCCAAAGTCCATTTGTATACCCCGGATAAATACTGATCTACTATCCAAGGCTCTACTTACTTAGGCCTCCTCACTGATACCCCCATTCAGGGGGTCTTGATCAGTCCCATGCTGGTGGCTCTAAATTTTTTAATGGCACATTTTGGTCTACACCAAATCTGGAATTCTTTGTTTCTTTTTATTTTATTTATTAGTTTTTGAGATAGGGCTCATGTACTCTGGAAATGGCTTTCAGGAGGCAGAAGCAGGAATGGTCCCATCTGAAGGGCAGCCAGAGCTACTTATGGAGACTCAGTCTTTAAAATCAAACAACACAAAGACAATGACCTCCCAAGAAGACTAACATCTTAATCACATCCTATGGAAGATTTTTTGTTTGTTTGTTTGTTTTTTTTGTTTTTCGAGACAGGGTTTCTCTGTGGCTTTGGAGGCTTTACTGGCTCTTGTAGACCAGGCTGGCCTCAAACTCACAGAGATTCGCCTGCCTCTGCCTCCGAGTGCTGGGATTAAAGGCGTGTGCCACCACCGCCGGGCGAAGTGTGTGTGTGTGTGTGTGTGTGTGTGTGTGTGTGTGTGTGTGTGTGTGTGTGTTGCTGTGCATACTTTGCATGTCCAGTGCCTGTAATGGCCAAAAGAGTGTGTGAGATCTACACTGGAGTTAAAAGCAGTTGTGAGTTCCTTGTGGGTGCTGAGAATTAACCTTCACCCTCTGGAAAGACAGCTGTGCTCTTAACTACTGAACCATCTCTCCAGCAGGGCAGATATTTTATTTCTCTCTTATTTTTGAGGCAGTCTCTCATCGTGTTATTCTGGATGGCCCGGAACTCGTTATGTAGAGGCTGGTTTCAAACTCACAGAGATCCACCTACCTCTGCTGGGACTAAAGGCTTGAGCCACAGTGTCAGGCCAATTGTTCTAAAGTCCTGTAGCTAAAAGGCGCGCGGATCTAATTCCAACATTGTTTTCAGTTAAAAATCTCCTCCGTGCCTGGTGTTGGTGGTGCTCACCTTTAATCCCAGCACTCGGGAGGCAGAGGAAGGCGGATCTCTGTGAGTTCGAGGCCAGCTTGGCCTACCGAGCGAGTTCCAGGACAGGCTCCAAAGTCACAGAGAAACCCTGTCTCGAAAATCTTTAAAAAAAAAAAAAAAAAAAAACCACAAACCTTCCTCCGTGCTCTAGACGGGTGTGATGACACATGCCTTTTGATCCTAGCTCTTGGGAGGCAGAGGCAGGCAGATATCTGAGTCCGAGACCGGCCTGTTCTAGAGAATGAGTTCTAGGACATCCAGGAGTACACCGAAAAACCCAGTCTCAAAAAACAAACAAACAAATAAAAATCTCCGTGTT